CATTTGACGGACTTGGATGGTGCATGTTTTGGGCTAATCTCGCACTCTGAGTTCCATACCCATGTAACCCTTAATTTGGTGGTAACTTTAGTTCACGGTATCTTGATGGCAATGCATTCTGAACATCATATACCTCAGAATTTGAGAGCTCATGAATCATGTTAATTTGACTGATATCTGAAGATGAAACTTTCATTCCTTCTGGGAAATCACAGTATTATGATGATGACGATGATGATAATGAATGTTCAGCGCCGGTCCGACCCTCACCAGTCACAAGACGCCTACGCCGACTGCCGAAGAGTATCACGGTCAATTGAAGCATCGCAATGTCGAGTGATCCCTCGTGGAGCAGCAACTCAAGATCAAGGAATTCTCTACCACCACCTCTTCACCCCTCAATCTCCTTAACCTTCTCCACAACCCTCAAATACCCAGGCTCCCTCTTCAAACGCTCAACATACTCAAACAGCACAGGATGCGCCGCCTTCACTGACCCACCAGGCCAACTACCCATCGAGTCCCACGCATTCTCCGCGTCCGCCGTGATGAGCGCAAAGCTGATGAGAATATCCGCGGCTGTGAGCTCCGGTCCGCAAAGAAACCCACCGCCGCCGGCTGATACCCCGGGCGCGGTCTTGAGATAGTTCTCGAGCATGGCGAGGTGCTTTTGCGCGTTGGGGAAGATGACGAGGGAAAAGATTTTGGAGGCGACGAGGGAGGTTAGGGGGCGGATTAGGAAGGGAACGTTGGATGATTTGAGTACTACAGGTCAATCTAGGTCAGGATCTCATATGATAGAGGTTGACAGGAAGTGAGTATGTATCCAAGGTGAGGGAGAGGTGCTTACCATTAATGAGAAGAAACTGCACAATCACAGGAAAGAAACTCCCCTCAACATAATGCAACAAATACCAAAACCGCGCATACGCCTCCGTCTCGCCCCCGACTTTCCCCTCCCGCCCGGCCTTCCACCGCGACGGCACGAGGCCGGGCTTCCGGTGGCCAAAGTGCTCGACGAGGTACTGCGTGATATATCCGCTCTCGGCGAGCCGGATCGGTGCAGGGCTGGGGTCCTCGTCGGTTGATTCGGGCGTGATTTCGAGCACGGGGGCCTTGCCGAGCGGGTGAACGGCTGCGAGCTCGGGAGGCGCGAGGCGGTTGGGGGCGCGGCGGAAGAGTTGGACTGTGTAGGGGATTTTGAGTTCTTCGAGGAGCCAAAGGGTGTTTTGGGAGCGGGAGTCGTTGAGCCTTTGGACTAGTGAGTCTTCGTTGGAGGGAAGGATTTGAGCGTGTCATGAGGGGAGGGGGGGCTACCAGTAGAGCTTCACTTTTGGTAGTTCTTCAGTTGCCATTTTGAAGGGTTGGTGTGATGTTGCAAAGAATCGCGCGGTTGTGAGTTTGCGGGTAGGCGTGGCGGGGTAAGCAAATCTATGGCGAGCTTGAGTAGTGGCGATGAGCTTGAGCGTGAGATTTGATGATGAAATACCGCTCTTAGTTGATATTGAGCGATGGAAGCGTCGACCGAGGATCTCAATTGCGCTCATGATTGATGATCTGTAGTGAGGTCGCAAGACTGGGGTTATTTAATACTTTGTGTATTCCTCACAGGTTTGACGTTCAGGCAGCCTGTCATCATTGGGTGGGCCGAGGGGTTTAAGCCTCTAGAATGGCATGTTTCGTTACGATTTCTCACGTACTTTTGTTTCCGCATTGTCTCCGAGGTGACGGGCGGCACAGTTCCCACGTGGAGGGTGTAAGACGGAGAGATCGGGGCTCCGGAAGGCCGATGGTGAGACTGGCGACGGGGTTTTGAGCACCGTATAAGCCGACTACGAGTAAATATTTCCCCATGACATCTCGATTGTTGAACAAGGCTTGCAGAGCATGATGACGGAGGCGTTTGAAGATGTTTATTCGAGATGTCAGATGAGTTAGTTTTGGGGGTGTAAGCCGGAATGCATTCCGTGCAGCTATCCAGATGCGGCATGACGCTGACCGTAAGCACCCGGATACTCCCGCAGTTGATCCCCTGAGACGAACTGTCAACTTGAATTGGGCGAGAAATGTGATGCGTGGTGTTGCAGGTATAAGAAAGGAAAAAACGAATGACTCCATGGAGGCTCGAAAGCAACAGCTACAGCAACTCATTAGCTCTGACTTCAGGATTAGGGGTATAACCATCTTAAGCCTCTGGGAAGGAGTTCCTTTTTGCGGCTGTAGCTGTTGGGGATTGACGATCGTTTTGCTCCTCATGGACCTTTCTCACTGTGCCTCCTTGAGCCACCCCATTGACTTGTCATCCGGGATGATCTTCCAAGTACTCCAAAGTATCCAACTCACTCAGCAAGCCAGTAAGATACGATCCGCACAGATCTATTGCACGCTCCAGCTGAAGTCGCCAGCCACAACTTCGATAATCATAGAAGCCAAGCCTAACTTAATACCCGTCACAATATCCAGACCTACAACTTCCTCTTCACAAGCCCCTTCCAGAAATCAAAACTATTCTCATCACTCTGCAGCGCCCACATCCGCCCCGTCTCCCTCCCCATCCCATCCACTTCGACAGCCTTCAACATACCCCAATCCCTCGTAATCCCCACAACCTTCGCTTTCGCGCCCGCCTCAGCCTCGAGCGTGACGTTCTGCCCCGAGTGGAGCCAGTGCTTGTAATACCGCTCCTCGAGGTCGCGCGAGAACCCTTCGCGGCGGAACTGCGCGTAGAGCGCCTCGATGCGGGTGAGGATCCGTGCCAGCAGCGACTCGAGGCGGAAGCCACCCGCCATCTTCAGTGGTGCCGGTGCGATGGCGTTGAGGGAGGTCGTTGGGCGCGAGTTTGTCGTGTTGATGCCGATGCCGAGGACGATTTGGTAGGCGCCTTGGGAGTAGGCGCAGTTGGAGAGGATGCCGCCGATTTTGACGTAGGAGGGGTCTTGGGGGGTTGAGGCTGGGTCGCGGCAGTCTTTATCGTCGTCAGTGTACAGTATCTATAGTGCCTGCTTATCATTTTGTCAAGATGGACTTACAGATGTCGTTGGGCCACTTGAGCTTCACGGGGACGTCGCCGCAGGCTGTGTCGTACGACTTGACGGCCTCGGCGATTGCGATGGCCGCAATGTACTGAATGAAGACGACTGGATGAGAGGCGGCAAGATGTGCCGGGTGGTTGATGACGGTCGAGAAGATGAGGCAACCCGCCGGTGAGACCCAGACGTTTGTGCCGCGGCCGCGGCCGGCGACTTGCGTTGTCGCTGTGAGAGTAAAGCCGGTTGGGAGGTGGGCAAGCAGTTTGGGGTTCCTAGAAGACAGTTACCGTTAGCGAAGAGGGCTTTAATGGTGTCTCGAGGGAGAACGAAGAGGGGGCCATACTTATCCATGAGCGTGTTTGTGCTGGTAACGACTTCGCCATACATGAGCGTATCACCCCACTCCTCCGCCGCAGGCTCAATCGCACGATACTCCTTGAGAGAGCCGTAAAACAAACGATGGTTGAAACTGGGCGTCTCCTTGGCGTCCGGCCACTCCTCCTCGTGCGGGACAATCACCTTGACCAAGGCATCATAATCCAGCATCCGACCTTCTCCTCCCTCCCCAGAACCAGAAGACGGCAAAGCTTGCCTGAGCTCGTCGACATCCCACCGCGAAGACTGCTTCTCGATGCGGAAGACGTCGTGCTCGCCGCGGATGTACTCCTCTTTTTCATCGGCATCCCGTCCCTGGCCGGTCTCACGGGTAATGGCCTCTTCCCAGGACGCGAGCATCTCGCCTACCTCGACGTGGTTCGCCGAGGTGAGGTGCATGCGCGAGAGGGAGGGCGGTGCGGAGGGGTCGGCGCTGAGATCCAGGCCGAGGCGGGAGAGACATGCGCGGAGGAAGGTTACGCGGGCTGCGTCGGCTGCTGCGAGGGAGGAGACGAGGGCTTCGTAAGAGGGGATTTGGGGTTGGGGGTTGAGGTTTGCCGCTGCGAATCTGTAGATTATTAGCATGCGAGGTTTTGAGAGGGGCATGGGGCAAATATACTCTGGATGAGGACCGGTCAAGATGACATTGCCAGACCCGACTGTGCAGTGTATCACAGCCGCTTTCCCAGCTCCCCCATCAACGGCAATCTCATCAGCATACTGCGCAAGAACCTCCACATTCTCAAACTTTTCAGCATCGACAAAGACGCCTCCGCCGTTATAATAACTCAACACTTCATCCCCCTCCCCAAACCCCTCCTTCACACTCAACCTTACCACCCTCGCGCCCCTCTCAGAATGGTACTCGAACCCCTTCAACGCACCACCCCTACACGTCCCCGGGAAGAACCCGAGCTCTCGCGACCCAATAACCTCGAGCGTCCGATCGCCGACTTCGAACTCGCACCGGCGGCTGCCGTAGTACCCGCCGGCACAGAAGCCGAGGTATGCCCCGCCGCGGCGGACATAGTCGGCGATGCGCCGGTTGCCGGGGCCGTTGAGGACGCGGCAGTAGCCCAGGTCGCCGCCGCCCGGGATGACGAGGAGGGCGCAGGTGGGCTGCCAGGGTTCTTTAAGGAGGGCGGCCTCGGCGACGGGGATGACGGCGTAGGTTGGGGAGAGGAGGCGGCGGAGGGAGTAGATGCAGTGGCGGACCGATTCGACGGTCGTGCCGGTGCCTGGGGGTTGTATGTGAGTCAATGTGGGGTATAATAGCTGAGGGAGGGGGACTAGGTACCAGTGTAGACCAGCACATTGAGTTTACGTGAGGCCATGGTGAGAGTCTGTGAGTGAGGGCGATGAGGGATGAGATGAGTCTTAAGGTGGTGAGTGAGTGAGGTTCAGTAGCGAGCGTCGTTGTAGCTTCGGGGTTTGGTTCGGCACTGTCTTGGGACCCCCAACAAAGTTCCGGCGGTGCTACTTCGAATGAGAACTCACTTCGCACCTTGCAAAACAATTCAATCGCCGACACAAGACGACAACAACGTCTGCTCAACGACCTACAATTAACTCTGAGGAGGAAGACGAATAAAAAAAATGTCCAAGCAGGAGAGCGACACGGCGAAGAAGTCGTCGACGGAAGATGACGAGCCTGATGACTGGTACGTAAAATGAACCTTTCTTCTGCTCTTCTCAACTCGTCGAGTTTGTCTTGTCTCGTACGGCAAATTGATGTTGCTCACGATGTAGAAAGGCAGAGGTAGAAGAGGAAACCGAGCAGAGAGAGACAAGTAAACAAGAAGCAAAGGCTAACAACCATGCAGGGACAAGCGCATCTTCAGCACGGGTTGCGCAGGTACGCAACGACTCCTCTCTCTCTCCGGATCGCAGCGGAAAAGATCGCGAACAGACAGTTGGATCACGGCGCTAACTTTGACCTCCACCTTGGTTGTCTCTGTAGACGAGAATGCCAAGTTGACAGATTGCTATTTCGAGAAGAAGGACTGGCGGCAGTGTACGGCCGAGGTATGTCTGCTTCTTCCGAATGTTCTTCTTGTCTCGCGCTGCAATGAGGTACATGATGAAATAAAGCTGACAATGGTTGATACTATCTTAGATGGAGCATTTCAAGAGCTGTTGGAAGCAGCAGGGCAACGATCGCCGGACGGACGCAAAGGATGCATGATCCAACTCGAGAATGAGTTTTAGGTCCTCCATCTAAAGCTTGTACACCACTTGTATCATCAGCTGTAAATAACATCATCACGAAGCGAACCGAAACTCATATCATTGTCGTTGATGATCTCACTCACTGCCAGGCTCAAAGTGGACTGACGCCAACGAGAACAGAAAAAGTCGCTCGCACAGTGTTCTAGCTCCAAAAACATGGCCCAAGCTCCCGCCTCCCGGGCGCCGCATTCACCCGCGCCGACCAAATTTCATTAATCCTCCTTCATGCTACACGCCGCCACGGGAGTCTAAGAGCATCATCGACACCGCGCAACCCTCAACCACCTCACTCTCGCTCTCTGTCTCCCGCCCGTCCCTTTCTCCCACGCGCGCGCGCGTGTCCCACAGCTCTTCCACCTACACCCGGACAAGCCATCTAATCCTTCCCAAGCAACTCACTCTCCAGGGCGAAAAGTCGCCTTCATTCACACAATGGCATCCTTCACCATGCGTCCCCTCCTCCGCGCATCGCGAACAGCAACAGCAACAACCTTCACCTCCGTCGCGCGCATAGCCACAACCTCGCGCTACAAAGCCGCCTCCGCAACCGCAGCCGCCCCGTCCCCCGCAAAAAGCACAACAACCTCAAGCTACGCCAAAAAGACACCCTCCCCAGCCGCGAAAGCCTCGAAACCATCCTCTTCCCCCTCAGCAGCAGCGGCACCTAAACCCACACCCGCGCCCGCGACGACAACGTTCCCGACAGCACCAGCATACGTCCCTCCCACTCCTCAATCCCAAACCGCCCCAGAGCCGCAGCAGCAAACGCCACAAACACAGCAACAGCAGCAGCCAATAGACTGGTCAACATCCTATCACGGCCTAGGCACAGCTCGCTTCCCCAAAGAAGTAGTCGACATCCTCCTCCAACCCGTCAACCCGTCCGACGTCGAGGTAAAACCCGACGGCATAATCTACCTCCCCGAGATCAAGTACCGCCGCATCCTCAACCAGGCCTTTGGTCCTGGCGGGTGGGGCCTCGTACCCAAGGGCGATGTTGTCGTCGGAGAGAAGGTCGTCACTAGAGAATACGCTCTCATCGCGGAAGGACGGTACGTGGTTTCCATGTCCTTGGACTTTTGCCCCCCCCCCCCCTCACTCGGACTATCCAGATATTGCATCAAGCAAAGCAAAGCTAACCCACAAATCCACACAGCTTCATCTCCCAAGCCCAGGGCGAGAACGGCTACTTCTCCATCGAAAACCTCCCCTCCGCCGTCGAAGGCTGCAAGTCAAACGCCCTAATGCGCTGCTGCAAAGACCTCGGCGTCGCCTCGGACCTCTGGGACCCCGTCTTCATCCGCCAGTTCCGCAAAGAGTACGCCGACGAGGTCTGGGCCGAGCACGTCACCACCAAGCGCAAGAAGCTCGTCTGGACGCGTAAGGACGTGCCGTTGGCGTACCCTTACAAGAAGACCAACTAAAAGTGTCTGGCGCCCAAGGACGATAAACCTTACAAAGAGGTCAGTTCCGCGCTGTTGGGGAACGTGACGGGCATCGTGCGAGCCCGCAAAGACCTTATGGATAAAAAAAACTTGTATAAATAAAACTAGATGGGTGGGATATGTGTAAGATGGGTCGCAAGAGTATGAATCTCAACTGTAATATTAGACGTATATCATGGCCCTCCTCGGGATAGGGGTAAGGGCTGTAGATGCATAGACCTTTGCATAGCGGTCAATCAAAACATTAGGACACGATCACTACAGAGGCCACTTTCTCAGGATCGGTGGTCGGCTGTTGAAAGCGACTCCCAGGTCTATTCAGCCCCCCTTTGGTTGGGAATCGTGCGGGAGCGCAGGCTTTTGCTGGTCCCGGAATGACATCCACTCTCGGGTGTATCATAAATCGACCATGACTCCATATCCCTCGCCCAAGCCGAACATCTAAATCATGCAAAAGTTACCATAAACCGCCGCGCAAAGAACTCCATTTCCCATTGACAAACGCCGTTGTCACATCCGAAGGGCGGCAATCACTTGTGCACGCCCGAGCTAGATCCACCCTCGGGATTCTCAGCCGTCGGTGTAGCGCCCCATCCCCACGGCATCCACGACGATCCCCCGCTCGTCTGTCTCCGCCTAACGGATCCGTCCTCGTCATCGCCACCGAGGTCTTCGGCCCCGCTCTCGGCATCAATCTTTTCGAAATCGGTCTCACTCCGCGATTTGCTGAGTCCGCTGTGCGCGCTCGGCGGTCTCTGCGTCACTTCCTCCTCCTCGCTGCCGTCGAGCTGCATGCTCCCCAGGGAGCGACTAAAAGTTTCGGGATGCGCCGACGTTGACGTCGCTGCCTCCTCACGCTCGAGAGCCTTGAGGAGGAAGGCGAGACGCTCACGCTGGGCGGCGATGAAGCTCGTCCTCTCGCCACCCTGGAGGTTCGGCGGGATAATGGAGCCGGACTTGGACAGGTCCTGGTGCTGTCCCCCACCGGTAGCGGCGGAGTAGGCGCCAGCGAGGAGGTTGTAAAAGTCGGCGCCTGTGTGGCCTGTCCCGGCAGCGGGAGCCCAGCGCGCAGCGGGGACGCTAAACCGGGCGAGGAGGGACTGCGTGTAGGACTGCGGTGGGTGACCGGCAGAAGCGGCTGCAGCGGAGGGCTGGGGCGCGGGTTCGGGGTCGCCTGGGGGCAGGCCTAGGACGTTTGTCTTGATGAGCTCGATTGCGCGTTTGAGGTAGGCGATGCCGGCGGCTTTCAGTTTGTCGTGGGCCTCGGAGATGAACTCTTCGATTTGGGCCTCGTTGTCTTGCAGGAAAGGGTGGACGTGGGTTTGGTAGATGATGCGGGCGCCTTGGGTTTGGGGAAGGACGAGATAGAGGAGGAACAAGAGGCGGATATAGGCGTAGAAGGGGATCCTGTGGCTGGTGTTAGTGGTTGGTCGGAAGAGGGAGACTGGATGTTGGTTGCAGTCTGCGAGTCAGAACGTACCAGACGAGGATCCATTCAGTCCAGGACTCGACGAGGAGTGCGCAGGCGAGGACGACCCAGTACATGAGCCATGGTGTCAGTTGTGCCGGGTCGGAGGTCTTGAGGGCCTTGTAAGAGGCGAAGAGGGGGAAGAGGAAGGAAGCGATGGATCTATGAGGTGGAATTTCATGTAAGTCGAGCGGTTCAAAGTGTCCCAGCAGGACTGAAGGTTGAGGCTTGTGGGGTTCAAGCCGCGCCGAGGGTATCGCAAGTGTCATGGAGGTATGCTGGCACCCATTGCGCATGCCTGGAGGAGAGGGGAACTCACGATAAGAGGTGGGCGAATATGTCAAACATGGTTGCGATATGAGGGCTCGATAAGGTCGTCAAGGTGGAGAGGAGGTAGAGGTGTAAGAGGGAAGAAGAAGGTTTGCTCAGAACTAAAGAAGAGATGGAAGAGCGTTGTCGGCACAGGTAGCTTTGCACGGCTCGGTCAGCGCGCGCAGCTGTCGCAGGGAGCACAAGCCGACGTCAGGCGGGGGGGCTGACGGTATGGGATGAGCAGCGAGGGGTAGCGTTTGAGGTTGCAAGGTCCGTCTAGCTTGATAGGTAATGTGTGAGTATCGGTAGGATCTCGACAATGAGTGTCAGCCAGCCGCGGGACGAGACACGGAGTGACAGACAGAATGGAAGAAAGAAAGAAAAGGGTTCAACCAAAAGCTGTGGAGGAGCAAGCAGATGGAAGATGCAGGATTGCGGATGCGGACGGGTGTGTAAGGCAAGGTACACGGCAGCTTACACAGCAGACAGCACGCGGAAGCAGCAACCGGCGCTCGGTGCTCGCTAGGGGGGGCAAGGTAAGGTGGGGTCCCTGAGCACGAGGACAAAACAGGCGGGTGCAGCGGGCATCACGGGCACTTGCCGTTGGATCCAAGGGTCAAACGGGAATGTACCTGTCGCATAGTATTATGTGGGAAAGGTACCTCCTTACATTGACTAAGGTAAGGTAGAGTTCCTTAGGTACCTAGTAGGGCGGGGGGCGCCCGGTGAGAGATCTTGGCTTTGGTGCTTTCAGCGAGATGCAATGCGATGAGGTACCTCGGTGGACGTCATCGAGGGGCTGGATAAGGTGCGATAAGGTTGTCGTCGGTGTCAGCTCGGGCAGGCGATAAGCCGATAACGGTGAGCGGTCAACGGATGAGGTAAGCTGCGGAGAGGAAGGGAGCTGAAACCGGACAATTGGAAGGGAAGAAGACAGGGAACCTGCTGATTCGTGACACCGCTCTCATCTCATCGTCCCAAGGCAGCCAACTTAAAGAGGTCTTTCGAACTGTTCAACAAGGCTCACCGAGGTTAGAGACGGCCCTCTAAATACTCACGAGACCTTCTGGTCACCTCGTTTTCAACGCCCCTGTTTGGCATAGATGGACATGTGTTCATTCGCAGCAAGGTCTGGTTCCTGGCTTGACTCACCGAGCAAACATGTTCCCTCCATCTAACGCTTCTAGATACAACGAGTCCTTGACTACCGTCTACAGTCTACACCCAAATACCTACAACATCCACGACCGATACAGGCACCGTGTTTTGCTTCCAGGCATCCCCCGTATCTGAGCGCCATGTGACGTCTGCTAGCGCCCTTCGGTCCCGCCCGACGATCGGGGCCTTGTTCCACCTTGCCGCTTCTCTCCGCATCTTGCCGCTTTGGGACACAACCCACTCATGGATGCTCCATCTTCACCTTTCACCGAGACTTGTCTGTTGGATCAGCATCGCGAGATCAAATGCCAGATACCCGGGTCCTGGTGTATGATGCGGACACATTGTCGATGGGAGATGCCACATCTCACCTCATGTCAGCGTGGCATTCGTGGCCCACGTACGCAATGCTCTTACCCAGGCCGTCGGTGCCTGATGTGGCCAGTCATCACGGCCGCGTGTAATTCCCAGGCACCGGCTTTCTGAGATGAGAATAGGTTGGCCGTATCTATCGAGGACACGGTCAACGAGAAGAGTCGCCGGTTGCCAAGTCTCTCAAGCTAATCGTACTGAGATCCATCAGATCAAGCAACCCATCACTCTCATTTCTACTCTTCGTGCCAGGAATTCCATCGAAGACTTGAGTCGAATTGCACAACTCCACGAGGCTCTATAGTAGTCTAACAACTCATCATCTACAAAGTCTGGTTTGAACCAGACTTTCCCATCTCAACTCACTCTCAATTATACGCCACCACATTATCAATGGCACTCTTGTTCAACCCAGGCCAATGCTTCTTCCCCCACGTAAACCACAAACTCACCGCCCCAACTACAACAACAACATAAATCGGCCCCGCATAGTTCATCTCCGTCCCCGTCACCGGAATCGTCTGCGGGAACGGCAACCACACGCTCAAATACATCGACCACAGCAGCGCATACACATTAATCGGCGTTCCCCAACCCCTCGGCAACGACCACCCGCCGTACTGCACCTGATACCCGGCCCCATGTCCGATCCGCCCCGTCAGCCTGGCGTGGAGCATACAGGAAATGGCGATGATGTACGAGCCATACAACCCCAGCGACGACAGCGCAGTAAACGCCGAAAACACCGTCGCCGTCGCGTTGTTGCCGACGGTGAAGAGCGACAGGCAGGTGACGATGACGCACGGCAGCCAGACGGAGCGGATGGGTACGCGGTGCGTCGGGTGGATCTTGGCAAAGTACCGCGGCAGCCCGCCGTCGCGGGCCCAGGCCCATGTTATGCGCGACACGGACGCCAGCGAGGCGGCGACGACGCAAAAAGTGATGACGAGGAGGCCGACGACCATGGCTGTGCCCGCAGCGGGACCCGCGGCGTTGAAGAGTAAGGGGATGATGGGGTAGTCGGAGCTCAGAATCGCCTCCGTCGTGGCCGGGTCGCCGCCCATGCCAAACAGGATGGCGAGGATAATCCCATACGAAAGCACGCCGTTCAGTATAATCGTCCACAGCATCGCGCGCGGAACAGCCTGCTTCGCCTTCTTCGTCTCCTCCGCCATGTGCACAACACCATCAAACCCAATGAACCCCCACGCGGGGACCAACATGCCGATATTCCAGCTCACAAAGCCATTCGTCCACCCGGAGGAAACAGTGCGCTCGAAGAACACAAATTCAGCCGAGGCGCGGGGCGCGAGCGTCAACAGCACGACGACGAAGACGAGCCAGAGGACGACGTGCAGGACGCCCGCCAGGAGCTCCATCCAGGGGATGGTGCGGAAGGCGTACATGTTGATGAGGGCGCAGGCGACGAGCTGGGCAATGATGACCATGGTGATGTGCCAGGGTTGGAAGGTGTACGAGGGGTAGTTTGTGCTGACGAGGCCGATCATGATGTTTGCTTCCGAGGCGGCGGAGCCCGCGAGGGCGGAAACCCAGGCGAACCAGGTTACCCAGCCCTGCATCCACTGCGAGGGTAGCCGATGTCAGTCTGGATCCCGGAAGACGTGTGGTGTGAGAGAGAGAGACATACCGTGATGAACCGCCGGTGCTTCTCTGGCGCAAGGAAATGCGTCCAGTGGTACTGCGCTCCCGCAATGGGCTGGATGGTCGCAAGCTCAGCCATGGAGAGCGCCTGCGCCATGGCGCCGACGACGACGAGAACAATACCCCACGCCAGCGTCTGCGGTCCGCCGTTGTAGAATGTCGCTCCCATGTCCATCGCCATGACCTCCCACGAGGACATGAAGATTAGGGCAAAGGCCAAGAGCTGCCAAAAGGAGAAGAGACGCTAGCAGCAAGTACCCGTGTTAGTTGCCGTTCGTGATATCGGTAAGGAAGACTGCGCTTGTGACTTACCCTGAGCGTCGAGTCGCCCGTGCCGCCATCGGTCGTGTATGGGTAGGCGCCGCTCTCGTGGTGGTTGTTCTTGGCGCCGTCGTCTGCGTTGCCCGAAGAGCTCGTCGTGTTGACGGCGTCGTAGCCGCCCTTTTGCTGCTGCATCTCGACAAGGTCCGCTTTTGCCATGATTGCGGCCTTCTCTGGAAACTAGTCCCCCTTCAATGCTACAAAAAGTCGGGAAACCTCAAGTAAGGAAGCCGCCGTGAGCAAGTCAACTCATAATCAAAGGAAAAAGAACAGCAGCGCAAGAAGCTTTTAAACAACCCCAAAGAAAAAAAAAAAGAAAAGAAAAAAAGGGAAAAGACGGGCGCGATCTGTGGATATACCATCATGCAGGTAAGGATACACGCCAAGACAACTAGGCGATCTGGACCGGCAGACTTAGACTAGACATGCAGTCCCCCTCTCGCACCAGTCCGACTCGAGATGCTCGGTACGTGGTGCGATGCGACCCTGAGACCACTTGGTTCCAGGGTATCGAAGATATCAACGCCGTCCCATTGGTGTGCTTGTATGGTTTCACTGAAGAAAGCTCCCATTGCTCCCATGGTTCCAAGCTCCCCCCCACCCGGGGCCTCGCAACGGAATCCGATCAACGCTAGCAAGGGAGGTGTTTGGTGATTGCCTAATCTTTATTTATTTTTTTCGCCACGATTATGAGCCGTGGTGGGGTTTCTTGTGAATCTGCAGTAATGTCTCGGGCGAATCTTGTGGGAAAGAAGGGAAAATGGCCCCAATGCAAGTTTGTTGCATGGCGGGGTGAGGTCACATCGCGATAGTGAACGATGAGCTCGGCTTACGTTCGACGAGTAATTTGTGGATACACTGCTAGTGGCAACGGCTGGACTAAACTTAATCTACCAAAGATTGAACTTTTGCCGTTTGCCTACTTTCTTTGCGGAATCCATTGTATGTGAATAGCTGGTCGTGACAAGCAATAGGTGTCGTCAGCGTTTGCGATGAAGCGGAAATCGATTGCGCTACTTTGACCTCTCTCTTCAAGTCTTCTCGACGCAATAAGAGTATTCGTCTGAGATCGTGGCCGAAGCCGTGACGGGTTTGCTCGACGACGAGGGTAAAGGGGGCAACTAACACGACCCACTCGCTACACCATCTCCATCGCAACGTTTCTCATAGAAGACTCGGAATACTAGTCCCTCGATTGTAGCTTGTAGGCACTCAAGTAGCCCAGTAAACGAGCATCTCGGCCCGTACTGACTACCAAAAGCGCCGGTAGGCTTCCTCCGATGGATGCTTGAGCTTGGGCAGTGACTTCCAAAGGGCGGAGGAACAAGGCAAAGAAGAAAGTGGATGCACTTTTGAGGAAGACGCTCATTATGAGAGTCGTTTGGTAGTAAATGGCTGGCTGTGAGGCTTGGAGACGAGGGATGGGTGCTAGGGAAGCGAGGTTGACTGGGCCTGAGGCTTTTGGGTCGGTCACCTGGCAATGATATAAGCGTGCATCGACAGACTGTTCTTATTCAATGACCCAGTCATACTGAACATTCGATTTGTGTGAACACAGCGCGCACCATAGTCTCGGTGGATCCGAGCGGCTAATGGGAGCACTCGAAGTTGGAACAAGCTTAATTCACGACGCAAACCCTAGTGGCTTGTGAAGAAGATGGGACTTCTGTTGCTAGTTTGCTAGTCCTGTCTTTCCACCCTCACCAACTCACTTCCCAACACCCTTGATAAGATCAGCCGCATACTCCGCAACAGCATACACAGTGGCCTGCGTATGCGCCGCAGGCAACATCGGCATAACACTCGCATCCACAACCCACAACCCCTCGACGCCATACACCCTCAACCCACTATCTACAACGCCCCCCAGCTCTCGTGGCATCATCGCCGCCGTGCCGACCGGGTGATCGAGGCTCGAAGACAGCCACGACTCCCGCATGAGGGTCTCAATCTCAGCGTCGCTGGTGACGCCCGGGCCCGGGAGGATCTCCACCGCAGCGAGCGTCTCGACGCTGGGACTCGCCATGAAGGCGCGGGCTTTGGCGACGGCGCGGAGGAGGAGGAGGGTGTCGGTTGGGTTCGAGAGGGTGTTGAAGTCGACTTGTGCGCCGCCGGCGCCTGGGCTGGAGGATCCGGGGTCCGGGTTCGTGCTGTTGATGGTTATTGTGCCGCGCGAGAGGGGTTTTTGGAGGGCTACGGGAACGGTTTCCGCGCCGCCCCAGGTAAATTCCATGACGCCTGCCTTTGGATTGCGGAATCTCTGGCTCAGAATCTCACGCTGGCGGCTGAAGCCTTCGAGGAGTGCCGGGTTCTCGGCGTAGACTTCGGGAAGATATTGCAGCGGGTCTTGGGCTGTGACGGCGTCTGCGATGGTTTCGTAGTTGTCTGGATCGAGGTCTTGAAGGGATGTGAAGACGACGCGGTTTCCCCAGGCGTGTGTGTGTGGCCCGGTTCTGTTGGCTTCGTACTCTGCCCAGGACTCGTTGTAGAAGGTTTCGTTGTTCATGAGGGTGGGGTTAATAGATGTGTCGTTCGCAACTTTGCGAAGAGAGATTAGCCTTCTGAAAGGAATTCTTAAGTGGCTGTTCAACTCACAGTCGTAAACCATGAAGATGGAGGGATGGTCTTGGAAGTTCGCACCAACACCCGGTAAGTCGACCACCACGTCTATATCCAGAGACTTCAGAAGCTTCTCTGGACCAATACCGCTCAACTGGAGTAGTTGAGGGGTGTGAACTGCACCAGCCGCAAGCACGACATTACCAGATTCCACGAACTTGGTCTCAGATCCATCACGACTGCCAATCACTACACCGGTCGTTGTGTTCCCCTCAAACTTTATCGCTGCACCGTAGTGACGTATAAGTAAATGCAAGTTCTCGCGGGCGCTGACAGGGTTGAAGTACGCGGTTTCGGCGGTAGATCGAGTTGCGTTAGGACCGCCAGAGTTCTGCGGGAGCCATGCAATGCCGACGTTATCACCGTCGGCACCGTCTTTCAACGTGGGCACTTTGATGTCCTGAGCCCATGCTTGCGCCATGAGAGCTGTTCATTGACATCAGCAGATTGATCAGGGAGGGCATAACTTCGTCGAGAAGTCACCTTACCAGACTCCGGCCACTGCCATGAAGGAAACCCGACCTCAATAGGTCCATCGCCATATGCGTCCTCAGTCCATTCGTACCCGTACTTCTCAACATACTCACCCATAGGCGGCGCGAACGTAGACGACTTTTTGAAATATTTGAGAAGGGTCGCCCAGCCCCAACCTGGGTTCCCAAGGGCCTCCCACGCATCATAGTCGGCTTCAGAGCCACGGTCCCAAGCCATTCCGTTGACGGTGGAGCCTCCGCCAACCACAGCACCGATACGCAGGCGGGATGTACGATTACCAAGATGGGTTTGAGGGACGGACGTCACGTTGTAGAGGCGTGCCGACTGGTCGTATGTTGCAAAGTAGGGCACGGTGACGTTGATTGTGTTGGCAAAGTCTCCATATTCGACGACTAATACCGTTTCTGAGGGTACACACATAGAATCAGCATCAACTATGTTGGATTTGAGACTATTGACGACGCTGAGACTCACTTTCGGGATCTTCGCTCAGTCTGTTGGCGACGACCAGGCCGCTCGTTCCGCCCCCAACCACGATAAAGTCATACTGCTCAGCGATTGAGTCGAAAGTTCTTTCGACCTGCTCAGTATGTTGTCCCAGCACTGAAGCTGTCGCGAACAGGAGTCCAATCACTAGTTTAGACGCCATGCTCGGTCCGGTGGTTGAAGAAATCGGAGGCGAACTTCGTGCATGGAAGAATAGCGACGATCGTCCTCAGAACAACTGCCCATGTCTGACGGAAAGCGCTTACTTTAAGTACGTTGAAGCCAATTCTTTGGTGCAATCCAACAATGACTGAATGAACATCTGCTCACCTTGCTTATTTAAGAACCCCGCACCAGTGATGTGCCAATGCAACATCCCAACTGTATTCTGCAGTGCGACATACGAATCGGTGGGCAGGGCCTCGGAATAGGCTACTAGATGCAGTGTGCTGAGTTCTGTCACAACGGAGTAATGATACGTCGGCGGAGGTTGTACCGATTGTGGTATGATCTCACTTTGCATTGCGGGTAAGATTTGCATCGGTGAGCGAAAGAGCCCCATCTTACTCAAAGCGACCGGTGAACTTTCCACACTTCTAGAAAGCACAACCCGTATGTCATTAGTCTTGGGATGACTACTCCATTCATTGCGTTAGTTCATCTGATCCAACCCGTCTCGCATCTGTCATTTGCTCTGGAGTGGGTTGCTGCCGGCCCTTTCGAGGCAATGGCTTCCTGATAACCTCCACTTCGCGATGCATCCAGATTGCCCGAGCTTCCATACTCGCTCTCAACGCTCCATCCTACCGGCTCCCTTGGAGTCGTTTCGCCGCTCCCGCCTGCAGAAAAGCTGTATGCCTTGCCGGTATATCCCGGTGGTCGAGGCCAAACCTTTGGTATGGCCGAGAGCACGCTGCTCATGCTTCTTTTCTTGGGGACGGGCTGAATGACAATTCGCACCTGCTCTTCTTCGGAACTTTTGCCACTGCTGCCTTCGGTTCGCGGCATATGACAAGGTCGATCGTAGGCTGGAGCGTTAGATGTCGGCCGATTCATCATAGCGGTAGCAGCTATGGCAGATGTCATGTAACGGTCGTCTTCGTTCAACTGAAGATGTCGCCTGCGTTTGGACCTTTGTCGACGTATGCAGAGGAATAGCAGGATCAGAGCTGTGAGAGCAAAGGTTGCGCCTACAGCGACGCCTGCGATTACTCCAGGACTCAACGATGGCCTGGCAGTGCGCTCAGTTGGAGGAAGAAGAGTTTCCGTAAAGGGTGGAACAGCCGTCGTCGAAGTTGATCTCATAGAGGGACTACTGCTCGCTGCGGGCCCAACCCTTGCTGAGTTACCGTCATTGGTCACAGGCGATGGACTTGGAAGTACTGAGGATGATGTGAAGGTACTGCGAGGAGTATCGGATTCTGAGCGGATGCGACTGCTCTCGGCTGCGCCTATGGTGTTGGAGACGACCGAAAGCTCTGTGGGTTCAAGGGCTTTTGGCGTCGTTGCCGTGACAGAAGAAGATTTGAGGCCTACAAACGATGGAGTCTGCTGAGCGCCATCGCTGGAAATGACCTTGTGGCTAGCCGGTGGAGATGGTGCGATCGCAGGTGAGTTGGAACCTCCATCCTTAATGGGAAGGGTCGTGGTTGTAAAGATCGTCGACGTCAGAGTAGGCGTCTTCGTCACAGAAACGAATATAGGTTCGAAGATGGTGACAGTGCGGACGATGGTGCCGCTCGCCACTATTGTGGTCGTGATCTCGATGGTGACTACGGAAACCCTATTGATTGAAGCTGGGGTCTGCCTCCGAACAGGAGCCGAGTGCGATGAGAAGCCAGTACCTTCAAGGTAGTGCGTGTCGGTCGAGGATATTTCGGAAATCGCCGTTTGATCCGATGCGATGGCGTCTGCCGCGTCTCTCACTGCAATATTTCGAGGTTGCGACGCGGTAACGATATTCGTCTCGAAGACCAGGGTGGGATTGATGAAAGTCAAGGTCTGCTGAAGAGGCGCCCAGATCACTTCGGTTCGGCTAGCAAGCTCGACAGTCACCGTTCGGACAACAGTGACGGTGGTGACTTGAATTGTCGCTTCGGCGGGTGGTCTAGACCATATGGTTAGCGTCAATCTAGGCGCAGTGAACTTTGTACTTGCGTGAGGTTCTGTCTTGCCCACATCTGGTGAAGGGCTATATCATCCTGCTTCTGGCTAGCCTGCTCTTCTGGCAGGATTTTCCCGGCCGGGGCGCTCTCAGGCTCCTGGGGAGCTCGAGTCGTTGCCAGAGTCTGCAAGTACCCGTCGTCCGAGAATGAGGTCAACGATGGCTCGACAGCAGAGTGACAGAACGTGGCGAGATTTGCGTCGGCGATGGTTGATATCAAAAGAAAGATCATGAAGCCGCGAAGCTTCGCCATGGTTGCTAGATGGATCGCATATCCTCTAGTGCCCTCAACAAACTGAGTGAAGGAAAGACGTTTGAGGAAAGGAGGGAAAGAAGGGGAAATGAGAGAAAGAGTAGAAGGTATTGAAGGGCAAAAGGCTAAGGAAAGTAGAAAGTGAGCAGCCTTGAAGAATTGAGAGAAATACGAAACGTGAAAATGGGAAGGAAGTAAGGTCCCTGGACGAAGGCAAGTGAATGCGGCAGGATGCCGGATAGGCCTTCCTTCCTAATGCCACTGGCCGTTGAAAGAGAGAAAAGAGAACCTTGGAAGTCCTTGGAAGTAGTTACGTGAGGAGAAAGCTGAACCGGAGGCTCACTGCAAGTACCCTCGTGTAACTTCATGCACTACGGGGAAACATTACAATTGGCCTCTGCTGCCGTCCTTGGTGATGTCGTGAGACAATAAGTAACATGGGGGACTGAGGACTCAGGCCTTCTATCTTTTACCTGTTCGCTGGGTTTCGATGGAAGAGAGCTTTGTGTCTGGCCTTGACAGAACACTCTAGGATATTGCGATACTTTCAGAGCAAACCACACACTCATCTCTAAGTGAGAGCCCCAAGGACTAGAGGCGTTGCCGAAATATTCTGTGGCATGAGTTGAGGTTTGAAGCTAGGCTTGACTCCAAGCAAAGCAATGAGTAAGGTAGAAAGGTAATTCATCCTGGGTGAGAGTCCAGTTGCAACACTTCTGATGCGTTTGGCTCGGCCATCCCGAAGATAAAAGCAATCATGAGATGGATGGGAGATTCCCATACCACGCTCCAAGATCGGAATAAGGTGAATTTGAGATCCAGTGTCCTTCACATCCGAGAGTCAACATCGTCGGGGGTGTTGCCTCGCCAATCATGGATTGGAAAGCATCTGGTAAGCTTTGAACTGTGGGATAATGAGCCTTGTCTGGCTTTGCAGCAACATATTAGTCACAGCGGCCTCAGAGTAGAGACATTGCAAGAAGAAAGCGGTTCAATTTGGTGTGACCAAGGGATTCAGAGTGTCCACAGAGCTTTGACCCTTGATGAAACAGATACCTGGCTTAGTAAGCACGATATTCACTCCTAATGTTCAGCTCCTTGCCCCGCCATGTCAAATCGGCACCAATAAACCAAGAGCACAGGACGGCGACGAACAAGGCGTAAATGCAATGTCATGGACAATCGATTGAGTGAGAGGCTGTCTAGACCTAGTTGTCTGCTAGTCTACTAGGCGCGTTTATCTCCCCCTGATACAATGCCGATAACCCCCATATCAGTCCCACGCCCTATGTACTTTCGGAAAGATGACGTTCCTTCCAGGATACAAAGCAGGTGATGGCCGAGGACAGTCTTCGTTGTCTTCTGCAAACATTCGCACTGCCCAAGCGTGAAGAGATTTTCTCTCTTACTCCTAATGTCATCAGAAGAACGTAGCTTTCCCCGGTGACCACGACACGACAAAGACTGTCCAAGAATCGACAGCTCAAGCATCATACTGGGCAAAGGCATCCACAATCCTCTGTGGCCAGCTGTGTCTCGGAATTGTCTGAAAGTGGTTATAGAGCAGCTTGCGCACAAGACCATTGCCCACCTCTCGGTACTCCGAGTCCGAAGGCGACTCATGGTCCTGGGCGCCAGGCATTCTGACCCATCCTTCCTTCCGGTTTGAGGTCATGGTAATCTTCTCCATGGCATAGAAATGCTGCTGGTGGGCTATCGTCGTGTAGTTGCATTTCAGCGCACGAGCAGCGAAGCGCATGCTCACCATGGCCGCCAACACATGCTCGTTAGCATTGGAGGATCGATCCGGGATCAGGTGCTTGGTGCGCTCGACAAAGAGCCTGTACCACGCGTAGTTCGAGTTGAACTGGCAGCCGAGCAGCGCGTCCTTAAGACCTCGCTCCATGGAGAAGGGGGCGAAAGTGGCCTTTTGCCAGGAGACGATGCCGGCCAGCTGGAGTTCCTTCTCGGGCTTGCCGTCAGGGCTGGTGGGCTGCTCGACGAGCTTGACGAGTATGTTGCGGGGCTCGAGATCCATGTGGCAGAGGACGAGGGCCCTGCCGAGCTCCTGGATGTGTCTGCATGTGAGGCTCTGGACGTCCATCGCGTGATCTGTGCCGGGGAACTTGATGAAGAAGCTGCCGTCTTTGCGCTCCGCAAAGGTGGTGGCTGGGGAGTGGTGGCGGGCGGGACGAAATTCGTTGGCGTAGCGCTGGAGAAGGAGGCGGATGCGCTTCTGCGAGGTGAACTGCGGAGGCCAGGCGGGGATATGGTCCAGGGGAATCGGCTCGGGGGTCTTGGGACCGTTGAGGACGACGGGGGCGGTGTAGTCGATGTTGCCGGACAGATCGACGGCCCTGAGCGCCTCTTCAATATCCTTCTCAGAGAAGCCATGTTCCTTCTGGAGGGTTTCAAGCGCAGTGACGAGCTGGCCCATGATGCGGTCCTGCGACTGAGGGGTGAGGGAGGACCAGACTTTGTCGAGGGTCACTGTGTTGGGGATGTGCTCTGTCACGATGTAATCGACATCGCCATCATCCGTCTCATAGACACCAACGCGGATGACGCGGGGGACCAGATCGGGGAGCCAAGAGCGAGCGATCTCTTGACAACGCCCTGCCGTGTCAAACGTGGAGACGTTGCCGACGGGGTTGGTGATGTTGACAAAGACGCCAGCGTTCATAGGGCTGGGACCGAACTTGATGTCGAGAATGAGCTGCTTGAGTATGCCGGTCTTGGGAGGCTCGTCAAAGGTGAGCTTGTAGGCGCGGCGGGCGATGAAGGGCTCGTGAGGGTGAATGAGGTCGATGCTGGAGGGTTTGGCTCCCCACAAGACTTTGGGAACCATCTTGTCGACGAATTGACGGTATCCGACCTCGAGCTGTCTAATGTTGACGCCTCCTCTGTCGGCGAGAATGGAGAGCAGTTTGGGGTCAGTCGGGACGACCATCTTAGAGCTTTGGGGATGAGAGATGGCGGGAGCTGATGTTGGGATGGATGCCTTTTCTTGCTGTATCTGATGGTTTGAAGATGAGAAAATGAAGGTTTGATCAGGTTGTGGGCGAGAGTGAGGTGCTCACGATTTGAAATCTCAAACACCCTGCAGTTGGAAGGTACCTGGAAGTAGGGCTGCTGAAGTCCACTTTGTGACTGGCAAGCTTGAGGATAAAAAAAACAGGCCAAGACATAAAAGATTGCGAGCCGCTTGATTATTTTGGAAGGAGGGGAAGTAAGTTCAAGGCTGAGGCGAGGCGGTCAAGTTGAAAAGAATGGCAGGAAACGGACGCCAGGATAAACAGAGGCGTATTCGGGTCCCAAGATGAAGGGAGATGATGGGAGTGGGCATCAGGAGTGTTCGTCGAGTGCTCGATCAGGCATCAGACAGAGCAAACGGAGCAAAGGTCCGCACATGAAGGAAGTTGACGTGTATGCGGGAACCCGGGGCAACGGTCTATTGCATCTTTTGGACGATTCACTTGGATTTCACCCCGAGCCATTTACCTTCGGTATGTTCACTTAGTCCAGGTGGGAATTGCTCCTAGTGAAGCCTGGCTATCGACGCCGACTGGTGTTCTCATGATAGCAAGACTAGTACTCAAGCCTGCTCATGAAAGCTTGGTGGTCATGTATAGCAATTATCGAGCAATGGCATCATATATCAGCATGACAAAGCATAGCACACCGGCCGCTCTCTCACAGAAGTAAGACAGGCAGTTGCTCTGATGGGAAGACATGCAAGCGGCACAGCTCATGATTATAATCAAGCATCAGCGGAGCCCGCACCCACAGAACGGGATCGGGAGATGTTACGGAGACAGCCAAGGTTAATATTCTATTTCTTGCGAGGTGACGTTTGCCGTTGGCCAGAAGCCAAGACAACGTTTAACAGCATGACTTGATATACTAGCTTGAACACGGGCAGGCGCATGCAAGCGGTGTATGTATTCTCGGAGCCATGGGGAACTTGGCATCCTTCAAACTAGAGGAATTGCTGCGTTTGCCTCCCCACAGCCGGCCAAAAGGTTCAGTAGAATGACGCATGGCTTGCTAGCATATGAGATTGTTAATTGAAGCAATGTACGAGAGTAAAGTAAAAGCAACCAACGGGTGCAGAAGCAGTGTAAGGTAGCTTAGCAGCGGGCGTTGCCGGATAGAATCTCAGAGATCCATATCCGCATTGAGGAGAAAGCTAATCGTACTGTACACAGGGTGTAAACCCAGGATGCCACACCACGCGAGCCAACCGTGCCACCGTCGTCAAATGCTGACCAAAAAGATGTGGGCGCAAATGACAGTTACCCGTCCCGCTGTCATGCAATTGCACCGTTCACACATGGGCTGACATAGCAGGATCTGGCCATGGAAATGGCCCGATGCAACCTGGGCACATTGTTGGAAATGGAACTGCTGCCATTGGCCAAAAAGATCTCTAGCCAATGGAAGGGTAGCTGATGACCTAGTGCAGGGATCACCCACCATGATGGGCAGGAACCGTGACGTCGGGACTCGGCCCCTCCGTCCCTGCATCGCAGATGCTTAAAAGGACCCCTCTGCGACTGCCTTTTTGAATGCTGTTCCATTCGATACAGATCAAATCAGACCAATTCAGCCCAAGACAACTCTCACATCGCTCCCGACTTCTTCTACATTCAGAATCAGTTTCTACTTGCTATCCTACCCTCTACCAACCTCACCTTCCCACTGAACAGTCACAATGACTGTCACCAAGGCTTCCACCTGCTGCGGCAAGAGCGCCGAGTGCGTCTGTGGTATGTACTTCTCATCCCCTGATCCCCCGATCCCTCAACTTCAACATCATCTCGACATCCCTCTCGTCCTTGAACACAATATCATTCTCAAACCATCCATAACCGACAATGACACTACCAAAACTTTACAAGCTAACCCGTCTTGCTCCTCAGCCCAGCAAGCTACCTGCTCCTGCGGCAAGCAGTCTGCCCTCCACTGCACCTGCAGCAAGGCCGCCTCCGAGAATGCTGTCGCCGGACCTCGCTGCTCGTGCAGAGCCCGCCCCGTTGGAGAATGCACTTGCGACCGTGCCGCCACAGAGAACACTAAGCCATCCGGCGAGACCTGCTCCTGCGGATCTCGTCCCGCAGGTATGTTCATTGATCTTCTCTTCTCTCGTTCGCATGATGGCTAACACCCTTCTTAGATGCCTGCACATGTGATAAGGCAGCCACAACCACGTATGACCGATCTGAGCACGAGATCGACTTCACCACCCGCCAGTAAATTAACTTCCCCTGCAAACCTATTCGTAGCATTAGGATCGGCGTTCAAGGGTCTCTGGGATTTGTGTTGCAGCCCGACGGCGATGGGTTCGACAACTGAGGACAAGGCGTTAATGGTTTATGATGGCACGGCTGCTTTGGAGCGCACAATGGGTACTGGACGATAGGATTGGCCAACAGTCAACATGAATACCACACAGATTCTCGACGTTTCTTACTGGATATCGGATCTTTTTCGCCAGGAGCTCGTCTACTGCTGCCTCCTGGCATTTCTCGTCTATGACCCAACTATGACCGTATCGCTCTGCCGTTTGGTATGGCGCTTCTATCGACCAGTCGTTTTTCCGGCATACGACTTTTTGTTCGGGCGGGTTGAGAGATGGCTGCGAGAAATTTGGGGCCGCTGTAGATGTTGGCAGAAAGAGCACCAGGATCTTTGGACAGAGCGGCTGAAGTTCTGGATGTGGTTGGCGAATCCGAAACGCGTCTAGAAGATGCTCATCATGTTCGCGGCGTTCTTCATGGCCAACTACTTCGGCAAGGGCTTCTCGAAGGTACTGAGCTTCTTCGTGACTGAGCCCAGGGTTGCGGAGCCACTCAAGCCATTGAGGCCCGGAAAGATTAAGGAATCTGGAAGAAAAGAGAGGCTTGAAACAATAGAGGAGGTCGACGAGGAGGAGGGGTCTGATGAGGTAGAGAGGCCTGACGAGGTAGAGGGGCCTCCTGCGCCGGCTCCAATTCAGCCTCAGCAAGGCGGTGGCGGAAACAGGGGGAAGAAACCGAAGAACAAGAAAAACAGGAGAAAAGGGAAACGCTGAGAGAGTTACTCCGACTAGACCAAGGATTGGCGGTGTCGATATGAAGTCCAGACGAGACTGACATTCATGCGACAGCGAATTGCGGATACAAGACACCAGCGATAACAAATATACCATCCAGTAGCTAGCGATGAGAATCAACATGGCATTCATTTGGTAACAACCTTTCGAATTAGACATGAGGAGGTGACTTGGTTTCGTTTCCAAAGGCGAACCAAGATGCCATACTTGAAGCGTAGTATTATTAGGGCCACTGTGTGCATGGACATTGTTGCTTCCAGATTGAAATCTTTCGGGAAATGCTGTTGATGATCAAGGTGAGCACCATCTTGGATTCTGTGGATAATGGAGAGGACAGTATCGCATCGTAGGGAGTATGTCATGTAGTCTGGTCTGATGCAATTCTGGGAAATCGCCCTGGCAAGCGCGCTTCGTCGACTTACACACTGACCGTCAAGACGCGGCTCTGTCTGAGCGGCTATAAGCAATTGGCTGGCTGGCGGGACCAACAGCGCATTGTGACGAGCTCAAACACTATAAAACAACAATATGGATCTCGGAAGCAAAACATAGGAAGCCGATTCTTTTGTCCAGCCGGGCACAATTTCGCGCCAAATTGCAAAGAAATGAAAGAAAGCCGAGTCGTCGTGGCGTGGGGATTCTAGGGGCATCGGCAGACGACGCGAGGTTTCCCCGACTCACCGGAAGGGAAGGACCCACCATTGGATTTTTCGAATGATTTTTTTTTTGTTCTTGCCGGGCTCTTCCATTGCGATTGCCTTTTCTGCCGGAGAACTGCAAGAAAAAGGGCAGGTGTGACCGGGCGGTCAGAAGCTCTATCATCGATCGCAGCTTCCCATTGGGACATAACTGCACCCGGCCCCGGGAGCTCGGGCCATAGCTGCGCAAAAAAAACGGCCCAGAAGGTCAGGTACCCATGGAAGGTACCCACCCGGGATCGCACTAGGTAAAAGGCAGTTGCGCAAAAGAACGAACCTACTACGTACTGGGCCCTGGGGCCGCCAGCAGCGCACCGCAGCTAAGCCCGCGCTGAGAGCCACAAAGCGCCACCCCTGCTTGGTCAGAATTCCAGAGCCCAAGAAAATAAAGCTGCACCTTCCGGTCGCGTCACTTCCGCCCTACCCTCGAAACAATTTCTTTCTTCCCCCCATACCCAGAATAATCCTCCTCTTCTGACTCTCTTCTTTTCAAGTTCTTCATCTCGATTGCATCAATTCGCATCACAAAGAATCGATTCTTCAATTGTTCTTTGCGAAACCTTCGATTTGACCAGAATCCCCATCCCATTACACGCGTTTTATCGCCAAGCACACATCATATCATCACCTGACGATCATGCCTCCCAAGGCCGCCCCCAAGAAGGCTGCTGAGCCCAAAGCAGCACCGAAGAAGACTTCCCTCGCCAAGAAGGGCAACGAGATCACCAAGAAGCCTGCCGCGAAACCCGCTGGAAAGAAGGAAGCTACTACCAATGGCGCGACTGCCGCCTCCAAGAAGCGCAAGCTCGCCGAGGAGGAATCAGAAGTCGAAGCGTCCGAGGCCGAGGAGCCCGAGAAGACCGAGAAGCCTGCCCCCAAGAAGAACACGAAGAAGGCAGCAGAGCCTGCTGTGAAGAAGACCAAGACTACCGCTGCCGCCCCCAAGAAGAAGGCCGCGGCTGCCGAGGAGACCGAAGAGGAGTCCAAGGTCGCGAAGCCTGCAAAGAAGGTTGCCGCGAAGAAGGCCGAGCCCAAGAAGACTGCTGCCGCAAAGAAGACTGATGCCAAGCCCGCTGCTGATACCAAGAAGCGCAAGTCAAGCGAGGAGGCGACAGAAGACGAGAAGCCCAAGGCGAAGAAGTCAAAGACCGACACTGCTGAGGTCGACAGCCAGGCTACGGAATCGGCCAAGGCGACAGAGTCTGCGGATGAGGAGCCCGAGGCTGTCAAGCCTGCGAAGGCTACCAAGAAGGCCGCTGTCGCTGCCCCCAAGCCTCCCCCAGCCCACCCCCACAAGATTGGCAAGAAGATCAACTCTGCGCCGACCCAGATCCTCGATGTGTATGTATTCGGCGAGGGATCCTCTGGCGAGCTCGGTCTCGGCAGCAAGAAGCTTGACGGCAAGAAGGTTGTCGATGTCAAGCGCCCGAGATTGAACCCTAAGCTCGATGCCAAGGACGTCGGTGTTGTCCAGGTTGCCTGCGGTGGCATGCACGTCGTTGCTCTGACCAAGGACAACAAGATCCTCACATGGGGCGTCAACGACCAGGGCGCTCTTGGTCGCGACACCAACTGGGATGGAGGACTCCGCGACGCTGACGCCGAAGAGGAGGAAGACGACGAGGACGACTCCGGCATCAACCCCCACGAGAGCACGCCCACCGCCGTTGACGCGACGAACTTTGCTCCCGATGTCAAGTTCACTCAGGTCGTTGCCAGTGACAGTGCCACATTCGCCTTGACTGAGGATGGCAGGGTTTACGGATGGGGCACATTCAGAGTAAGCTCTCTAAACGCAGCATGAGGTGATAAGTAGCTAACATTCTCCAGTCGAGTGACGGTATCCTCGGTTTCACCGACAAGATCCAGATCCAGAAGACTCCCGCCTACCTTCCCACATTGAAGAACATCACGGCCCTTGCTGCCGGTTCCAACCACATTCTCGCTCTTGACGACAAGGGTGTCGTTGTCGCCTGGGGCTGCGGCCAGCAGAACCAGCTTGGGCGCCGTATCATCGAGCGCAACAAGCTTTCCTCCCTTATCCCCCAGAGCATGGGTCTTCCCAAGAACAAGGTCGACCGCATTGCTTGCGGATCTTACCACAGCTTTGCTCTTGGCAAGGATGGTGCTGTCTGGGCCTGGGGTCTCAACAACTTTGCCGAGACTGGTATTGAGATGGGTGCTGGCGAGGATGACGCTGTTGTTCTGCGTCCTACCATTGTCGAGTCGCTCAAGAACTACAAGATCAAGCAGATTGCTGGTGGCGAGCACCACTCTCTTGCTTGCACCGAGGACGGCAAGCTCTTGACCTGGGGACGTCTGGATGGCCACCAGGTCGGTATCCCTGTCGAGGAGCTGGATGCGGAAAGCGTCATTAAGGATGAGAGCAACAACCCCCGCATTCTCTCTAAGCCTACTGCTGTTGAGGGTAAGTTCACCTGTCCATTCCTTACCGAGTATCGCTAACGTAAGTCACTAGATATCGCAAAGTGTGTATACGTTGCCGCTGGTGTCGACAACAACTTTGCCATTGACGGAAAGGGCGAGGCTCACTCGTGGGGCTTCTCTGCCAACTACCAGACTGGTCAGGGCACGACTGAGGATATCGAGACCCCGACCACCATTGACAACACCGCTGTCCGCGGTAAGAAGCTCGTCTTCGCTGGCGCCGGTGGCCAGTACTCTATCCTGGGAGGTGTTGCCGACGTTCCCAAGGTCAACGGCTTCGCGCCCCAACCAGCCACCGGTGGTTTCAGACCTGTTTTCTAAGTCTCTTAGAGAAAAGGTTGAACCTTGACAGCGCGGCGGCGAGTTCCAAATAACAGCAAGCGGATACGACTGGCTTCTACAAGAACACGGATGATGAACGAGCAAGCGCCGCAATCACCAGAAATAAGAGGTGGACTCCATACATGAGCCGAGGCGGCATACCAATTCCAGTCGCGATGCTTTTTCCTTTGGTTCATTCTCAGCATGAGCCATTTTCACTCGCGGTACGATACATTCGTGCAACAATCTGATTTTGACGAGTTTCCGGTTTTTTCTCCAATGTCCCCTAAGCGGACTAATAGACTTTTTTGGACGAGAGCGGCAGTGAGGCTTCGACTCGGCATGAACGGATGGGCAGGTATAGAAACGGCCTCGAAGGGGAGTCAAACTTATGATACCAACGAGGATTTTCTGCTCGACAAGGCCCCTCCTATTGTGTGCCTAGCGGAGTATCGTGACCGCCGCGGAGGCTGTTTGGCTATGGAGACTGATGATAGTCTCCTGTAATACTATGCTTGGTCTCGAGAAGTTATCAAGGTCTGATCCTCCCCTTTTCTTTACACTTGATGTGTCTATTACGAGAGGATCTTCTAGCTCAGCATTGTGCATTTTTATCTTTTCAGCAGCATGGAAAACGGAAGGGATAGGAGGCATTGGACTATCAAAAAATTTATTTCTGGCTTCGTCTGAACATG